GAGGTGCCCGTCCCGTCCGCCGGGCCTGGCCTGGCCTCGGGGCTGGAGTCGGGGGAAGGTGTTTGGGGGCGTGGAATAGAGCGAGGGGAGGTTGGGGAAGCTTTCGGGAGTCGGGAGGGAAGCGAGGGCGAGGAAGCGGGGAGGCGCGCGTGTGGGAGGCCGTGGAGTGGGGAGAGGAGCCCGGAGTCCGCGGTGGAGAGGGAGCGTGGGGCGAGGAGCTCGGGCTGGGACGAAGGCGGCCCGCGAAGGTGACTGGGTGCCCCTGCGAAGGAAGGAAGGGGAGTTGTGGCGGGGAAGCGTGTGAGGTGTAGGAGTGTGAGCCAGAGCAGGAATTTGGGGGAGTTGTTTCGAGGAAGGGCGTTTGGGTATAATTGGGGCAGGTGGACAGAGGCTGTTCGGGCTACTTCCTTTTCATCACTTAGGCTGGTTGATTCCTCATTTCGCATTCATCAGAGGCTCTAAGACTGTTGTTATTGCTGTTGAACTGAGGTAGTCCCACGATATTTGGTCAAATATCCTGCTTGTCTTGATTGGTAAAGCAGAGCTGCTCACAGGTTTAGAGGTACACACTGGGGTGACTGGACCTTCAACTGTTACTCTTCAAGAACTTACTAATAGTGATGCATCGAACAACAACAACAAAAACCCATATTGATTCTTCGAGTGTATCATAGTTTTTAAGGTGTTCATAAAAATTGTACAAATCATCCAGAAAGCCCTTTTTGAACTGTGGTGAAATTTCAAAAGATTCGATGAAGTTTTTCATCATATGTAAAAATTTTCTAAAGTAGAAATGTAAAGACTGGGAGATGCTACTACGCTGTTCTGACCCTGGAACATTTTGAATAACACAGAATGAAAAGGCAAAAGCAGTCTTTCCCTCAGGAGTATTTTCAGAGCAGTCTAATTGTGATTTCATACATAGTCCATATGTAGTTTCCAAAGTTTCTAAGAGGGAAACACTCCATTTCTCTGTCCCCTCACCTCCTCTCGTTGATATCTGTTTTACTAGTAAGCAGTTTTTACTTTCTTCTGAAAGTTCATAATATACTTAGAAAACAAAATAGAATATATAGCTCAAGTGCCAGGGCACTATTTTGGGTACTAGGATGGTGGTTTTTAATTATGGTTTCCTTTTAAAAGCTGTCTGAATATAATTTTATTCGGTAAAATAATTTTAAAAACCTAATTGCTTCAATTAAAAGATCACTAATTTTTGTCTTGATTATTTTGAGATAAAATAGTCTATAAACTTTTTTTTTTTTAATTACATGAAAACCTTTTGGAAAGACCAGATGAAATATTTGGCTGTTGAATAAAGCTTGCTTTTACTAAAATAAGAATTTTAGCGTTTTATGAAATATAACTTTGCTCAGTTTAATTCATGTATTACAAATGTTTACTCATCTGAATCTTTGTCATATGTTTTGGTTTTTTTGAATCCTAAAGTAAGGAAATGTAGTGGAAAAGAGCTCTGGGCAGTGACTAAATTTGTGTAATTTTGGGCAGCTTTTACTGCTGTTGCTGCCTCGGTGTAAAAGTTGAGAATTAGAATAGATAAAACCCAGTAGTCCTCATTTTAAAAGTCTCTCATCTTAGGGACTTTCAGTGTACTCCATACCCCTCTCCATGGTCTTAACTCTTTAAGTAGCAATATCTCCATTTTGATCAATGAATAACTAGAATAAATAGAAAACTTACGTTACTCAGTTTCCATAACTAGCAGGTTGTAGAATTGAGATTTTAACTGAAAGTCTGACTTTGAAGCCCATTCATGTTGTTTCACAAGTTGCATAGATTCTGCTACAGGAACCTTTAGATTTCTGTCACACTGAAATGTAGTTCCAAATGTTCTTTGGTTGGTTGCTTGTACTGTAAGGACTAAATGAATCAAAGAAGATACCAATTCCAAAATTTAGGGGTCCTGTTGAGAATTTCTTCTATTATACCCTGGAGCAGGATTTGTCTTAATTTGCATATGACTTCTACAGTTTATTCATGTAATAGTTATGATTTATTGAATAAATGAATATTGTAGTTATGAAAACTTGTGACTCCATTCTGCTAATAAATTGTGTTTTTTATATCAGATATCAAGTTAATTGCTTAATATTTTTAGAACTTCAGTACTATATTTGTAAATAAAGCATTGATTACAAATTATTTTTATTGTCTGAAACTAGTTTCTTATAACTCTGAAATATTAACTTTGCTACTTGTTGATGCTTCACATCAGAAATAATAAATTCTGTATATATATTTTTTTGCACACAACTAATATTCCTAAATAAGATTACTACTACCTTAAATGTTGTATTGTCTCCATATTTGCTGGCCAGACTCTGCCAAAAAGTTAAAAATGTTTGTAAATACTGCTTAACCATTATCAGGGACTCTTCCTAGTTTTTATTTTTTCTGGTACCAGGAATCAGTCTTCCTAGTTTTTAAATTCACTGTTCTGTTGTAGTCAGTGCCTACTATCAAGTTGTCTTTCTCATAATTTGTTACTCGCAAGGTTCTTTTATCAAGACGGTGGTTCACATTTTACCTCTTGCCAGCTATGGAGGCTTGATCAATTTTCAGTTTACTTATTAATAAAATGGGGGAAACCATATCCACTTCATAAAAATTTTAGTATTAAATGAGATAATGTACATAAAATGTTTAGTATGGTAAGTAGCTATTAATACTGTAGTTTAAGAAACTTGCTTATTTGTAGGATATTTTTCACATTAAAGGTAGATACTTAGTTAAAGATGTGCAAGAATTAATAGTTTTACTTCCAGATAATGTAATCCCAGTTTAGTCTTCACACATAAGCAAGTAGTTTTATTCTTAATATTTTAACAGTGATTGTTTAAATAGGAGTAATTGCCAGTATTTGTTTGGAGTTGTACCAGTTGGGATAACTAAAGCCTTTGGGTGTCAGGATACATAATTGCATAGAACATGGCAATGAGAGAGAATAAGTAAAGGAGGAAAAAGGGAAGACTGAGGAAAAAGTTCAAACTGTAAAAATTCTGTTAGTCTAGATTATCTCAGTGATCATGCTTTTTTTGCTAAAGTAAATTCTTGTGTATTTATAAAATATAAATATTTTGGTTAGCCTAGTTTTTATTGCTGTAATTGAAGCCTATATTTGAAAATATTTAAGAATATTATGTATATCTTTATCTTGTAATAAATTAAGAAGTTTAAGGATTTTATGCTTTTTAAATAGAAGTTTGATTTTCTTGTGTATAACCTTCAGGTAAGTTAGTTAAAACAAGAAGATTGTAAAAAATTTCTATTAGTCTACAGCCATACCACTCTGAACGTGCCCGATCTCGTCTGTAAAATTATATTAGAAAATGAAGCCTGCGTAGAGAAACACATTTTTTAGCAAAAAAATTCCTGAGTTTTGTTGGGAAGTACAAATTTTGTTTTACCATTTATTATATAGAATCTTTACACTAGTGCTTTCCAGCAGAACTTTCTGTGGTAGTAAAAATGTTCTGTATGTGCACTGCCCTGTATAGTGGCTACTAGACACATGTAAAATTGATAACTTAAAATATGGATGGTGTCTGAAGAACTGAATTTCAAATTTTATTTAACTTTAATTTACATGTAAGTAACCACATGTGGCCCGCCAGTAATTTTCATCTGGTGGCGATTGTGTCCCCAGGTTTATTTGGCAGTGTCTGTAGTTCATATTTGGTTGCCACCTGTAGGAGGGTAGTGCTTGCATCAACTACATGCAAAGCAGTGTTGTGTTAAACTTCATAAAGGCAAAAGTTAGCTCTCTAACTCCCAAAAGTAAAAATTATTTTGTGGGCTGAGGATGTGGCTTAGTTGTAAAGGGATGCTTGCATAGTATGCCTGAGGCCCCGGCTTTGGTCAAGAAAGAGTATCTTGTTCAAAAGTGTCTGTTGCAGGGGATTAGCTCAGTGGTGCTGCCACCTGCCTTGCAAGCACAAGGTCCTGAGTTCAATCCCAGGTACCAAAAGTGTCTGTTGTGCTGATATTTAGAAACTAGATTGCTGGCTACTCTCCTGACAGATACAGATCAGACTCTACAAAATTTATAATCATTATGTTTATTAATGTTGGATAATACTAATGAAGAATTGTAGGTCTGGTCTGAGATAGGTTTGATTTGGTTTGGTTTTATTGTACCAGGGATCAAACTCAGGACCTTGCACAGTGCCACTGAGCTAAATCCCCTGGCCCATGTAACAGTTTTTTTTTTAATTGTTATTTTGAAACTTTGATAAGAGCAATGAAGAAAAATTTAAGTCCTCTATTCTCTATTTTGTAAGAGGCAACAGTTTTTATTTTGTTCTCTATGTCTAGTTTAAACACTTCTTTTTGTAGAATATTGTATGAAATATTAGTAACTTAACAATTATGTAATTCTGGCATTAAAACAGACTGAAAATATTCTCAGATACATATTTATAATTAAATTTTATATTGTTTTGGAGTTGATGGTGTTGAATCTGAGTACATGGAAGTTCCTTTTACTTCTTTGTTAGAATTTTTGCTTAACTAAAAATAGTATTTATACATAGGCATAACTAATAATGATAATGGAATGTGACATGAAGAATAAATTTTCTATCCTAGATATACTGTTCCCTTACTCTCACAATTACTGTCATTAATGTGTTTTGTTTAAAACATCACATTTCTAAATAAATGTCACTATTTGCAGTACTAACCTTCTTTTATTCTTACAGATTGTTCTGGGTCACATAATGCCAGCTGAGCGTAAAAAGTCAGCAAGTATGGAAGAAAAAGATTCTTTGCTAAACAACAAGGAGAAAGACTGCAGTGAAAAGCGCCCAGTGAGCAGCAAGGAAAAACCAAAAGAAGATCTCAAGATCACTACCAAGAAAGAGATCAGTAAGGTCCCTGAAGACAAAAAAAAGAAACTGGAAGAAGATAAGAGGAAAAAGGAAGACAAAGAACGCAAGAGAAAAGAAGAAGAAAAGGTGAAAGCAGAAGAAGAATTAAAGAAAAAAGAAGAAGAAAAAAAGAAACATGAAGAGGAAGAGAGAAAAAAGCAAGAAGAGCAAGCAAAACGTCAGCAAGAAGAAGAAGCTGCTCAGTTAAAGTAAGAAAATTAATTATTGATGTGAAGGAATTAAAATATTAGGAATGAGGATGATTATTTGAAATAAAACTTCCTGTGTGCGGCTTCTTAACATTTGGGAGTATCTAAACTTGGTTCTGTATGTTCCACTGAGTAAACTAGTACTAAATGGTTTAATTATTAGTTTAAATAATGGTAAAACTCTTTAATAGTTTATGAAAAGTAAGGTAATCTGGATTGTTTTTGTTTTTTAAAAATTTTTTTAATGGTAAAATAATACGCTGTTATATACATCTTTCACTGAAGAACTGGAAGCTTAGGTCTGACATAATAGTGGTAGCCAGTTTTAGAATATTTATAGCCATGATTTTTGATTTTTGCTTGTTAATTTTACTTTTAAAAAATACTAATTTTTAAAGATACTCCATTTCACAATAACTTTCTCCCTTTCTTTTTCCATCAAAAGAGCTTTAAAAAAAATCTGCCTTTCTACTGAAAATGTTTCATGCAAATGCAAAAACAGGATGATAAAATGAACCAGTCCCTTTTTTACCTATATCTATTGAACGTCAACAGTTACCCAATTTTTACCCCTAGAATATTTTGAGGTATCATTTTATTTTACCCATAAAAACTTATTTAAAGTCTTTTCAATTGAGTTAGCTAATGTTTTCTTAATGTGTGCTTTCACTGTTAGTCCTGTATTTGTGTGTGGCTGGGAAATTTCCCAGAGTTACTCAGATGTCCATATTCTCCACGGTGGATGCAGCCTGTTAAAGTAGTGTAGCTTTTAGTGGGAAAAATCATAGAATAGTAGGTTAACTCAGAAATTTTTATCTCAGATTTGCTTATATATCTATATCTATATCTAGATATAGATATAGATATTTTTTTGTACCGGGGATCAGACTCAGAACCTTGCACTTACAAGGCAGACAGCAGAACGACTGAGCTAAATCCTGGCCTTCATAGATTTATATTTTAAAGTTAATATTCTTTGATCTAAAAATCAGGTTGTCTCTCTCTTCCCACCCCATCCAAGTTATTTTATGACTTCTGCAATTTAAACTTATTCTATCTTTTTAGTGGAAAAAACGGGTGTGTCTATTTTTAACAGTTTTTTCACATTTTATGAAAGGGTGTCTAACTGATAGTTCTCTTCTGGTTTCTTTCTAAATTTTCTAGATCATACTTGAATTAAAACCCTAACTGTAGCAAGTATAGTACTTCATTAAAAGTTTGATTATTGCTGAGTATTGAAAAACAAATCTAACATTTCAAAGCATTTTTTAATTCATTCTCATATTTTTCCAATGCTTTTGTTTTACATTTTATATTCTTCCTAATCATATCATATTTTTCATATTAAGCATCATGTGTTTTATCCATATAGTTTCCCAGGTGGCAGAATGATTTTTAATTGTGTTTTGTTGTTATTATTATTCTTTTGTGGTACTGGGGATTGAACCCAGGTCTTCCAAGTGTTAAACAAGTCCTCTACCACAGAACCACATCTCTAGCCCATGATTTTAAATTTTGATCTAGTTATTGAAAATCTTTCACTCTACCATATATGGTATTGTCAATATATTGAGCTCTCATTATTTTAAGTCATTAATAAAATATCTTCAAAAGTAATGAAAAAGCATTTTTGTCTTTTCGTCTTAGATGCTGATACTTGGTACGATCACCTTTTTTCACTAGGGTTTACTCTTACAGGATTTATCAGTGATGCTTCAAAAATGTTTAGTCTGTTTTATTTGTGTTTCTGTTTTTTTTCATAGAGAGAAGGAAGAATCCATTCAGCTTCATCAGGAAGCTTGGGAACGACATCAATTAAGAAAGGAACTTCGTAGCAAAAACCAAAATGCTCCAGACAACCGACCAGAGGAAAATTTCTTTAGCCGCTTGGACTCAAGTTTGAAGAAAAATACTGCTTTTGTCAAGAAACTAAAAACTATTACAGAACAACAGAGAGACTCCTTGTCCCATGATTTTAATGGCCTAAATTTAAGCAAATACATTGCAGAGGCTGTAGCTTCCATTGTAGAAGCCAAACTAAAAATCTCTGATGTGAACTGTGCTGTGCACCTGTGCTCTCTCTTTCACCAGCGCTATGCTGACTTTGCCTCCTCACTTCTTCAGGTTTGGAAAAAACATTTTGAAGCAAGGAAAGAGGAGAAAACTCCTAACATTACCAAGCTAAGAACTGATTTGCGTTTCATTGCAGAATTGACAATAGTTGGGATTTTCACTGACAAGGAAGGTCTTTCCTTAATCTATGAACAGCTAAAAAATATTATTAATGCTGATCGAGAATCCCACACTCATGTTTCTGTGGTGATTAGTTTCTGTCGCCACTGTGGAGATGATATCGCTGGACTTATACCAAGGAGAGTAAAGAGTGCTGCAGAGAAGTTTAATTTGAGTTTTCCTCCTAGTGAAATAATTAGTCCAGAGAAACAACAACCTTTCCAGAATCTTTTGAAAGAGTACTTTACGTCTTTGACCAAACACCTGAAAAGGGACCACAGGGAGCTCCAGAATACTGAGAGACAAAACAGGTGATTTTCAAATGTTTCTCAGAATTGAGAATTTATTTTGGAGCACATACTTAGAAATGTTTAAACTCTTCATGCTACTGAAAGAACTTATGGAAAAGGGCTCCTTACAGGTGATTTCTTAACATTTCAGGAAAATTTCAAAGTATAATAGTCTAAATGTTCATGTTTAAATGTGAATCTACAAGAGATTGTGTTGCTGATTTTTTAAAAAATCTAGCTAGTAGTACATGGTGGCTTGCTTTGTGGATTTTTTTTTTCCTGTGTTTCCAAAAACTCCTTGATATTGAGTAAATTTTCTATCACTTTGACTTGTTAGTATTTTTCTGTTTGTTTTGATGTTTCTTCTATAACAGGTTAGCTTTCATTGTTTTATATGTTGAGTTGTTAATTTCACTATTGCTGCTTGTTCTTTTTAAGAAAATGAGTCAGTGGTATTAAGGTCATAATTTTGAGAAGTAGTGCACAAAATTAGTTGCAGAAAAATTTACTAGATGTGACTATAAAATATATTTATAGAAGTCTTTTTGGGGGCATTTGTTTAAAATTCTAGAGACATAATGTACTGTGCTTATAGTAATCGGTAAAAGATCAAACCTAGTGACCATCTCTGTTAGTAAATAGTGTAGACTCTATAGTGTCTCCACTGAGAAAACATTAATAAGTTGGAAGTAAGTATAGTCTGTGGGTGTTGTGTCAACTGTTATGGACAGTAAATATGGAGGAGGGCTAAGGGTGTGCAAAAAGGAGAATAACAGCATATAGCTGAGTACTTTCCAACTAGTATAATTGGTTGAGAATCTGGAATTGCTATTAATCAGACATTAATATGGGTTCCCAGCAGTCTGCAGTGGGGAAGGACAACCATAGATTTAGTAGTTACCACTGGAGGATGATTGACTTAACCAGAAGAGAAGACAGTAATTTTGTTATGCCAGTACTATAGGTAGGACCGATGCAAAGATTATGTGCTAATAATTACTCAAGTGAGAATTTGAGATGCCAGTCTTATTACCAGTGATTGTTTTTAGAAAGAAAACGGGCTGGAGATTTAGCTCAGTGGCACTGCGCCTGCCTTTCAAGTGCAAAGTCCTGAGTACAATCACTGGAACCAAAAAAGAAAGAAAGAAAGAAAGAAAGAAAATGCCAGTGAATCCCAGCTGGTCAGGAGACTGAGAGGATCACTTGAGTCCAGGAATTTAAGACCACCCTGTACAATGACATTCCCTGTCTAAAAAAAAAAAGACAATTGTGATTATTGTTTTATGCCTTTGAATGTTAATAAGTCTCATATTTAAGACTTCTTCATTGTTTCCGTAATGCTTTGTCATTTTCATAGTCCTTATATTTTCAACTTAATGTATCACAATTTGGACTTTTTAAGTTTGTTAAAATTGGTTAGTTTTATTGGCCACTTGAAGGGTTTGTGTTTGTGTTTTTTGCGGGGGAGCTCAAAGAATTATAGTAGGAAAATCTACAGTGGTTTACTCGTCACCTTTCTAATTCAGGAATCTGTTTAATCGATTCTTGATAGAAAAGGTTATTATTCCTCTGGATTCCTCTCAGAAAGAGCTCAGGGCCCTCTGAGCCATATTGGGCACACCTATTTGCTATGAATTCTTTGTTATGTCGAGTTGAAATTTAACCCTCTATATAATGATTAATTTTGATTTAGTTTTTTTCTGGTAAAAGTGGAATAAAGTTACTTAAAGGGATTTATGAACTGCTCACCTGTTCACAGTAAATTCAGTACAGAAGCTGAGTAAATCTTTGGAAAGTATGGAGCAACTTTCTGTTACCATGATCATCTCACTGTATTTTATGAAAGTGTTTGTAATGATTGGGAAGACAAATTAATCTCTTACCACAGATAATTGGAGAAGCACTGATATAGGACGTGTGTCCACTTTTCTTCCCCTGACAATAATTCAGATATTAGTGAACTGCCTGTTCTTCAGACTAAACATGTCCAGGTTGTCAGTGTGTTTCGTTGTTTCCAGATAGTTCACTACCCTTAGGATAGTTGTCTCAGATGCGTTAATATTTATGACTTATAATTGCTTTTACTTTTAGAGCTGCCTTGTCATCTTTTTTACTTTCTTTTAGGCTTCTTTACACTAAAGCCTGATTTCTCAATTGAATTGCTTCACTAGTATCTTTTAAAGCCTAGATAAGTACTTGGTTAAACTCTCATTAAACTTTGTTTAGATGCTTTTGACATAATATTTTAACCTAATGATAATTTTGAATGTTAATTATATTCACATTATAAGTACCTGCTCAGGTCATTGATAAACAGCTTTGTGGCCTTTCTTCAGAAACTTTTGTTTTGTGTTTTTAAGATGGTCTCACTGTATCGTTCAGGGTGGGCTGAACTTACTACGTAGCCCAGGCTGGCCTTGAATTTGTGGTGATCCTCCTGTCTCAGGAGAGTGTTGGGATTACAGCCATGAACCACCACACCAGGCTACTTTAATCCATTCTGATACAGAACTGTTAATCTCTGGCTATTAGAGAAGGTTACTTGTAAAGTGTAGACTGACCTTAGCATTGAAGAAATCATTTATCGTGGGTGACTTTATCCACTTACAGATGTAATCATTTGGGGGAAGTTAGAATCTTAATCACCATCAAAATCAGTTGGCATAAGCTTAATAAATTACTCATGCTCTAGGATACCTTCAATCCACACGACTTCTGTAGTGAAGATGGAGATACCTGACTGAACAAAAAAGACTGAAGAATGGGTTAATGCAGAGTCCCTGCTTAACCTAATCTTAGTCTCCTTCCTTCTAAAAAGGTACACTACAGTGTACCACTAAAACGACCAGTTTCTAAAAGTTTCTCTTTTCCAGTAATTATCCAGTAGGTATTTTCCTGGGACTAAAAAGTCATGGACAGTAGTTTTTAGGTTTCTCATAGGTGTTATAATGCTGGAAAACTAAGCTAGCCGATAAGTAAAGCTCATAGGCAGTTAAATGTCTTTAAGCCTTTATTCTATCTTTATTAAAATCAAATATACTTATTTTCAGTCTAAAAATTATAAATATTAGTCATTTTATTACAACTTGGGAGACAGTGAAGTTCTTTGTGAAGTTTTGTTCTGTATGCATTAAAGTCTACTTAAAAATTTAGCCAATTTTTAAACACATGTAAAATCTCTGGTGCTTTCTTAAAGACACTAATGAATAAATGAAGAAAGTGATTTAATGAGTCATACTGAATCCTCTAACTGTTCTTTTCTCATATTATCAAAGTGGTTTGATTTTAAAGTTTAGTTAAAAAAATGAGTATAATGCAGACTTTCTCCCTCTCACGTTGTTAATAGGTATCCCCCAGCCCCATCCTTATCCCCCCCCCAATACTGGTGTTGAATTCAGGGATCACTGACCTACATCCCCAGCCCTTTTTATTTTGTAGTACTGAGAATTAAACCCTCATGAGGGTTTATGTACCACTGAGCTATATCCCCAGCTTTTCTTATTTTTCATTTTGAAACATGGTCTTGCTAAGTTGCTCAGGTTGGCCTGGTACCTGCCATCCTTCTCATCCTTAGTGCCCTGAGTGGCTGGAATTACAGCCCACTTTGTAAGGCTCAAGTTTCTTTTGTTAATGCAAATTCATGCAGCCTTAGTTGACTGAGGTTAAAACTTAAAAGTATGTTGGCTTAAAATTAAATAGTGTTTTTACTCATTTTCCATGTAAGTGGAGTTGTACCTGTTCTTATAGGTAGGTTGATCAATTGGTAATATTTAAGCACTATTAAAATTTTACTTTGTTGTACTTTAAACTTAAGGTGACTCTAACAATACTGTAAAAGCTCTAAAATTGTTACCTCCTTCTAGATATTATACTTTGACATAGTAGTTGTTTAATATTTGAGTATAATTAGGCTTTACTGTATATTTACAAGTTTGTAAGACATCCATTACCAAATTCCAAAAAGAGACTGCAGAAAAATTTAAGATAAATTTTTATGATAACTTGACAGAAAGCATACAGAAATGAAAAGTAAAACTCAATAGTTGCCAGATGTGGTGGTACATGCTCTATAGTTTCAGTTGCCTGGGAAACTGAGGCAGGAGGATCTCAAATTTGAACCCAGACTGAGCAACATAGCAAGATTCTGTCTCACAATTTACAGAATAAAATCAGAAAAGGCTGGGGATATAGCCAGTGATACAATGCTTGCCTAGCTTGCCTGAGGCTGTGGTTTCAGTCACCAGGAGAAGTTTTTCTTGAGTCTGCTTCATAATCATTTTTCAAGCTTCATTTACTTATTTTATGTTATTTTGTATAACTGTATGTGGTCAAAGTTAAGGATATTACGCATTTTTGCTGAGATTTTTTTTCCTTTTTAATTTGGCTGATGGAAGTTCAAAATAATACTTGGCTTTGAAGTTTTTGCCTTTTTGGTGCGCTTTGGCATATTTTTTCCTCCTTAAGGAAGTATTATTTTACATGAATCTGTAATCTTAAGTGACCCTCACAGACTCCCTCAAAGAAATACCTATAATTTGAAGGTGAGAGATTTAGGGATTTAAGCATTTGCCCAATTTAACTTGGATAGCCAGTGATAGAATGAGATTCTTAAGATTCTACAGTTACATAGTACCTGTTGTTACCTGTATTTACTACTGTCAGTTGTTTTAAGTGTAATACATGTATGAGTCATTCAGTATTCAAGTCAAATGCAAACAAGAGGACCCAAAAGAGGACGTAAAATAAGCATCTCTGGGTAGGCCTGCCTTTGAACTATGCATCTAAAAACATTGTGATTTAAGTATAGCATACAAAGAAAATAATTTTAATATGCGAGGTAGCATAGGTCAGTATTTAAGAGCATGGTCTCTAGAACCAAACTGCTTGGGTTTGAATCTTAGATCTATCATTTGCTCATTATATAGTCTTGTGCAAGTTACCTAAATCAGCTTTAGTTTTCCTATCTGTAAAAGGTAACAATACCCTACCTCTGGGGTAATTGTGAATCATGTATGTGTATATCTATAAAAGCACATTATAGTATTTGGCACATTTTAAGTGTTCAGCAGATGTTAGCTATTAATATATTGCCTGTTTAATCTTTTAAAAACTTTATCTTTTTATCATTTCAAAAGTTAAACTTTTAAACTTCCACAGCTTGTTTTAAATTTCATTTTCAAGACAATGTAAAGCAACTCAGTAATCTATAAAATAAAAGAACAAGTCAAATGGTTTAAAAATGGAAAATAAAATGTCTCAGTATGAGATGAGGCATTAAAGAGATTTTGTTTGTGAGTTATACGTAATTCAATAATTATTTGATATTTTATGTGTTACCGTTTTACTTTAGTAATATAAAAAGCACTTCACAAATTGAAGATTGATGTACCTTATGGATGCTTCCAGACAGCCATGTCATATCTGTTGAGTATAGGAAGCCTACTTTTTACAAATTTTTATTATAATGAATACATCTGAACTGATTTTGTTTTTGTTGATTACTTTTTACACCTGTAAAAGAGTACCAGTACCTCTCTATTGTGCAGTTATATGAGAGGGAATGAACGAGTTCATAAACGTTTAACATCGATGCTGACTTGGTTAACTCCAGTTATGACACAGGGATAGACAAACCATGGCCTGTGGGCCAGTTTAGATCTGTGTCTAGGTTTTGTACAGCTTATAACCTAAGAATAGTTTTTACCTTTATAAGTGGTTGAAAAAAATAAAAATAGAATATATGTTTTAAAACATGAAAATTACATGAAATTCAAATTTCAGTGTCCATAAATAAAGTTTTGTTGTAATATAGTCATACTCATTTGTTTACCTATTGTCTGTGTCTGCTCTTGTATTACATATAGCAGGATTGAATAGCTTCAACAAAGACAGCAGCATGGTCTACAAAACCTAAAATATTAACTCTCTGGCAGTTTAAACAAAAGTTTTCTTGATTTTTGGTTTATGACATTCTCAAAAGTGATTTCTATCCAACTTTATGTAGTAGATATGTTTCTTAAAAGATAGTAATTACAGTGATATGTGCTGAATTATTTTTAACTTGATTTTGCTTTTATTTCCAGTGTTATATTTCCACTGAATTGAATTTGGATAAGGGATAGGGGTGTAGCTCAGTGGTAGAGCACTTGCCTCTCATGGGTGAAAACAAGGCCCTGGGTTCAATGTGCACCAAAAATGGTGAGGGATGGATGGATGTATATATATAAATATTACTGATGTAAAGAAGAGGTACTCTGGTCAAATGTGCTGTGTGATGTTTAGTTCCCTCCCAGAGCCACGTTTTCTTCTTTTTTTTTTCTCTCTGGCAATGCTGGGGATTGATTCCAAAGTCTCGTATATGCTAGGCAAGTGCTTTGTCATTGAGCTGTACATCCCCAGCCCCCTTCACAGAGGTTTTCTAAGACATTAATTAAGCAGAAAATTTTTTCCTATGGGCATCAAAGTTTAAAAACTGACATACATACTTCTATGTATGTCATTTAAATGTTTTAACTTTAAATTTCTGTGTGATTCTAGGATTTTTGAATATTCAGACACCTTTGACAAGTTATTTCTGTTATGTCAGAATATAGTCTTTACCTCATATGTGGATTTAGCCAGGTATGTGGTGAATGTATATTAAATCAGTGGTCAACGATAAGATATGACTGTATAAGTTCTGTTTATAACAGAACTCCTAATTCTGTTTATTAGTATCCCATCCTTCTTACTCAGTGCTTGATGTAAGAAGTGGTTAGAAAACAAAGCAACCAAAATCTAAAGTTTTTCCCTGAGAACTGTTCTCATTAAATAATAGCTGAGGTACATGTTCCCTAGTTAGGTAAGTTACTGATAGTAAAGAATTTGATCTTGAAGTTGAGATATGGGGTAGGAAAGAATGTTTGAATTTCAAAATTTTAGCTGGACTAGAGAGGAATGGGAACCCTGACATAGGGAGCCAACCTTGATGCAAATCAATTTTAACTGAGTGCAGAGTCTTAGGCAAATATTTGAATGTGAGGTTGATAGTAGAGAAGAACTGTTAATTTCCTGTTCTGATAAATTATGACTTTGCTATTGCTTATATATCAGCAATTCTTAGTATTTTCTGTCTTTTTAAAAATTCATTGTTTATTGGTATATTTTAGGTATACAGTATGATGACATTTATCATTTAGAATTTGTACCTTTACATGATATATTTTGTTTCTTATTTTTTCCCCATTCTCCTGCCCTCCCTTCAACCTCTCCAAGTATTTTCTATCTTAGACTGGCTGTTTTTTCAGATGGCCAGAATGTCATAACCTAGAGAAATAAATTTCCAAGTTATTTTACTTTAAGATATTTTATAATTCCTTTCCAAGTACTGAAGTAATGTTGTACCTTAGTTGTTGTTATTACAGGCTTTGAAATCTCTTAAAATCATTATTCGTTCTACAATTTGCTTGAGAATGAATTCTTTGGTTTTTATCAGTTAACATTTTTCCCAATAATACAATGGAAACATTTTAAAGTAATGTACTTTTGAACATTATATACTTAAAAATAGTTTAATTTGAGAGAGAGAGACAGAGAGCGTGTGTGTGTGTGTGAGTGTGTGTGTGTGTGTGTGTAGTGGTAAGGATTGAACCCATGGCCTTTGCACTGAGCCTTTAAAAAAAATCTTTGAAGACAAAGTCTCACTAGACTGAGCTTGAACTTGAAACCTTCCTTTCCTAGCTTTCTAGAGTATTGGGATTACAGGTATGTGCCACCATACTTGGTTTGGATTTTTTTCTTAAACCTCCAAGTGACTTTATTAGAACTTCTGATTAAAAGTTCTTTTTTTGTGGTGGGGGTACCAGGGATTGAACTCGGGTCTTTGTGCTTGCAAGGCAGGCCACGGAACCACTGAGCTAAATCCCCAGCCGTTGATTAAAAATTCTAACAAGCTCATTCATAGTAATGTTAGTGGTTTCTTTCATGGGTGTGAATATTTTACAGGGCTTTAGGTTTTTGTTTTAATTTTTAAACTTCTTAATAAAGCTTATTGAATCCAATTTTGCTTTTCCTTGTCATATTAGTGTGAAAAAAATGTTTGAAGTGAGAGCAAAACCTGTGGATAGTATTTTCAGTTTTTAGAGAAACACTTTTAGCTTGGATTATTATGTTTAGACTATTGATATTTTACTAATATGTTTGTTAAATGTCCAGTGTATATTGACATCATAAGTAAATGAGTGAAAATTTCTCACATTTGACCATATTAAGCCAGTTTTGAAAAAGGGAATGACTGTAGTTAGTCCGTGCATTGATGTGTTTGTAATAGAAACCAATACTTTTAAAATAAGATGTTATTATTTGGACTGTTACAGTATTTAAATAGAAATTTATGTGGGTGGGAATAGGGTAAGATAGAAAAGTTTGGAAATTGTTTCAAATAAGCAGGGAACAATAAATGTAGCATGACTTTTCCACTTTGTTTTCTGTAGCTTTTAAGATGATCACATCTCAGTTTATTAAGACTCAAATGACAACACATCAAACACTTGTATTACTTTTGAAAATGACTTATAATTTATAGTTGACTTTGAAACCTGAATTTATGTTATGGTTTATAAGTTTCCACTGTTACACAACTACAGCAATATATAGTATAGAATGAATTAGATCCTGTTGTATGGCTCAGTTGTTTATACCTAATAGTGTAGGAATTTTGACATTTTCCAGTAGTTCTGCATTTGTAATCGTGGAGGACTTACTAGTATACTGTTGTAATGTGAAAGTATAGTTGTCTCCCCTAGCCTCCTCCATATAGCATGGACTTAAGTAAGTGGGTTTCTCAGTTAGCATCTGTGAAATGGACTATAAATTGACAACTGGCTATGTGGGAGATGTGAGCTTTTTTTTTCTTGGTACTGATCGAACTCAGGACCTTCCACTTGCCAAGCAGGCATGGCACCACCAAACTAAATCCCCAGCCCTGTGGGCTTTTTCAAAAGATAATCTTATACAGAGTTTAAGGATAACTTGATCTGTTTTTGAACCCATTTACAACCTGTTATTTTTGAAAGCTGACTTAGATAGATGCAGTAAATTTTTTTAGTTTTTCTGTATGTCTGAGAAAAGTACGGCATAACAAAATTATTTTATTTACATTTATTTAAATTACATATATCTCTTTTGTACCAGGGATCGAACTCAGGACCTTGTGCTTTATTTAAATTATATTAATCACAGTATTTCTGTATCACATCATTGTGGAGACATAAGAATAACTGATTCTATAACATGTTGCTTCTTGATACTGATTTGTCCATTCAGTGTTCTTTAGTTAAATGTGTTAACTAGAGGACAGTATGACAGTAACAAAGTCCTAAATGCCCTCTCATTATTAGGTAGTACATTGTTAAATATGTTATTTCTGAAAATATACTTTATAATCTGAGGAAATTTAATTGCTTAAATGTTGATTGTATTTTAATTTGCAAATATATCTTGAAAATGCTAGGTTATAAAAATAAGTTAGCAAAAAGGTTGTGCTGGATTTGTGTGATAAGGTCAGATTTTATGGAACATTTCCCATGTAGCAGTATATGAACATGTCTGTAAATAAGTTTATCAGATTATTTTATCATTTGTTTACAGGCGCATTCTACATTCTAAAGGGGAATTAAGTGAAGATAGACATAAACAATATGAAGAATTTGCTATGTCTTACCAGAAGTTGCTGGCAAATTCTCAATCTTTAGCAGACCTTTTGGATGAAAATATGCCAGATCTTCCTCAGGATAAGCCAACACCAGAAGGTAAAGTACTCTTGAATGTGATTTTTTTTTTTTTTAATGAGCACTGTTACTGACCTTTAGGTTTATCACATACATATTGATATTTTAAGTTTTTAAAATTCAAAACTTTTTAAATGAAGAAATGAGATTAAGACCTAATAAACTTGAAAAATGTGTTACATAGAACTAAAGGTTACTTTGCCATTTTGTGAGCTGAATTAACCTCATTATACCAACTCCTTTATAAAATATGTTTTGGGGTAGATAAATACTAATAAATGATTAATCTTAAAAATATCCAGTCTTATTTATGTAAAAATAGTAACTAAAGTATTTTGGGGTTTTTTTGTTGTTTTGGTTTTACTTTTTTATTTTTAGTAAAGTGTTTGTAAAGCATCCTCTTAAAAAATATTTTGTATTTTTCATCCTCAGTGAAATATAGTGATTGTATGCTGTTAGTGCATTTATTATAGTTTTATATAATCAAGCATGTAGTTCCTAGTAATTTTTGTATTCCAGAAATCAATGGATCTAGTAGTTAGGAGAATCAAGCAGGAGTATTACAACTTTAAAGTTAGCTTGGTCTACAGAGTAAGAGCCTTACTCAAAAAAAAAAAGGGCCGGGGATTTAGCTCAGCGGTTCCGTGGCCTGTCTCACAAGTGCAAGGACCCGAGTTTGATCCCTGGTACCAAAAACAAAATAACAAAAAAACAAAAAAAAACCAAGCTGTTTCATGCCTTTGCAGTACTGGGGATTAAACCCGAGTTCACACTTGATAGGTGCTTTACCACTGAGCTGCATCCCCAGCCCAAACTTAAATTTTTTGGAAGACATTCTCCCTAAACTTTGAGTTTTTGTTTAATCCATCTTGTGTCATAGTATATTTATTGTGATATTTTAGAACCAAAATCTATTCATAGTAGTTAGCATCCTTTGATACTGACTTATTTTTTTACTATTTTTTTAAAAATGCTGGTGAATTTTCTTTGAAATGCATTTAGAATTAATTTTAGGCATTTCCCAGGGATAGCAAACCTTTGACAAAATTCTGTAATTGTTTTTAGAAGATATTTTCATCTAGTACAAAATTGCATGGTGAAAAAATTTTTTTCTTTCAGTATATTGAAGATGTTCATCTTCTGGCTTGCATTGTTTCCAGTGAGAAAGCTATCATTCTTATCTCTGTTCCTGTTAATATGATATGTATTGCCTATCTGGTTGATTTTTTTTTTTTCATTGTCTCTGATTTCAAGCAGTTTAAGTATGATCTAACATTGTGGTTTATGTTTCTTGTGCTTGAATTTCATTGAATTTCTTGGATCTGAGTATTCATACTTTGCATCAGATTTGGGAAATCTTGTCTTTTTTTTTTTTTTGAGACAGGGTCTCACTATGTAGTGAGACTGACCTGGAATTCACTATGTAGCCCAGGCTGGTCTTGAACTTACAGTGATCCTCCTTTCTCTGCCTCCTGAGTGCTGGGATTCCAGGTGTGCGCCACCACTCCCGGGATGGGAAATCTTGTCTTTATATCTTCATATATGTTCTGTTTTCCCCTTTGTCTCCTCTCCTGTGGGTACTCAATAACTATATTAGATTGTTTCGAGTTGTCCTACAGCTCATTGATGGTCTGGCCTTCAATATTTTTATTCTTCACAATTTTTTTTTCTGTTTATTGGAAAGTTCTTATTCTTTTTTAAGGTTCAGTAATTTTTCTGTTGTAGTATCTAATGTATTATAAATCCCATCTACAGGTGCAATTTTTACTCTAGAAGCTGGATGCACTTTCCTTCTTAACATGTACATTAACCATCTCCTAGCTCATTCAGCATGTGAAATGTAACAGATATTTTTAATGTGTCATTTCTGAGTTTTAATTGATTATGGTTGATTAATCTTTATATGTCTGATAATTTTTCTTTTTTTTTGCATGCTCAATCATATCGTATTAGATGTATGTCATATGTTTTTGTATACTTATAAATATCTTTGCACTTTCTTCTGTGATACAGTTATGTGGAAGTCGTTTCATATTTGAAAAGATGTTTTGTTAGGGGGCAGTCTCTAGAACTAATTTTCCCTAATACTGAGATAGTACCCTTTCTGACTCAACCGGTTTTTTATGAACTAGAAAATGCTTTCAGTTTTCATTAGGGCATTCAGATTGTGAGGACTAACTCTTTTGAGTAGCTATTTTCTTAGCCTCAGTAGCGGCTAACCATTACTCAGGCAACATTCAGAGAGGACCCTCTGTAGATCTTTGAGGCCTGTCTCTGTGATGCTTTCTCCTTTCTGGTACTCTGTCCTGGTATCTCTTGATGCCTTGAATTCTTTGTTGTCTGTATCCGGGAGGATGCTGCTCTCTCCCTAGCTTCTACTTTACCCAGTCATAGCCTAAAAAAATCTAGTGAGTAAGCTAGGTCTCTTACAGGCTTGCCCTCGCTTGGGGATTTTTTCTGTGCTACTTGCTGTCTAGTGTTTGTAGACTTATTGTGTAGTGTTTGGAGGGCTAGTAATTAATGGCTCATAGTAATATCCTCTTGTATAATTGTGCTATAATTTATTTGTCCTCTATTGATTGACATTTCTAGTTTTAGATATTATAGTCATTAGGTATTTTAGTTGATGCTGAAACAAAATCCCCTGAAGCTACTTCTTTCTGTGTGCACATTATTATTATTATTATTATTTTGTACTGGGGATCAAACTCAGGACTTTGTGCTTGTGAGGCGGGCATTGGCACCACTGAGCTAAATCCCTGGCTCCAGGACAAATTCTTGGAAGTAGGATTCTTGGATTAAAGGAGCATTACATTTTAAATTTCAGTATTTAATGCCATATCTTCTTTCAAAGAAATTAACATACTACTGACTGTATGAGAATGGTTGTTTCCGGGTCTGGGGATTTAGCTTAATGGTGCCCCTGCTTGCCTTGCAAGGTCCCAGATTCGATCCCTGGTACCAAAAAAAAAAAGTGGTTGTTTCCTCCACCTTACTGTATTATGTTTTTTTATTTTAAAATTCTGAGATGTAGCTATTGGCTTTTTATCAGTATATCCCCCCCCTTTTTTTTTTTTTAGTTTTTTTGATACTGGGTTTCACTATGTAGTTGAGACTGACCTGGAACTCATTATGTATCCCAGGCTGATCTCGAACTTTCAGCGATCTTCCTGCCTCAGCTTCCCAAGTGCTGGGATTACAGCAATATATTCTTTTCTTTATGAAGTTCCTGTTTGAATCCTTCCTGTTATTCTCCCCAATTGTATCTTTTTTTTTCTTTCTTTTTATTGAGTTTATTGGTACATTCTAGGTATACAGTACAGTTACCTACATTCATTACTGGGATCTTGTACCTTTACATGACAGGTCTTGTTTCTCATTTTTTCCCTTTGTCCCTGCCCTCCCTTCACCCCCTCCTCCCCTCCCCATTTGCAAACACTTTATTTCCATTTTTTCATCCCAATTGTATCTTCTTAAAAAAATTGTGTCTTATTTTAATTGATTTGTAACAGCACTTTGCATGTTAAGGAAATTGATTTTTTCATATGCTTTGCAAATGTTTCCTATTAATGTTTGCTTTTTTTTTTGTTAAATTTATTTTTTTGGTATCAGGGATCGAACTCAGGACCTTGCACTTGAGAAGCAGGCAGCAGAACCACTGAGCTAAATCTCCAGCTCTGTTCGCTTTTAATTTTGTAAATTTTTTTGCCTCTCAGAAGTTGAATTTCTTTTTATGACTTACTACAAATACTTTACTTTTAGATATGTAAAATATGCTTCTTCTTCTTTTTTTTTTTTTTTTTTTTTTTGGTGCTGGGGATTGAATTCGGGTCCTTGCGCTTTTGAGACATGTGGCAGAACCACTGAACTAAATCCCTGGCCTAAAATACACATTTTTTAGAATAAAAAATAAAATTCTTGTATCAGATCCATTCCATTTTCCCAAGTAACCAGTATAAACAGCTTGAAGCCAGGCGTGGTGGCTCACGCCTGTAATCGCAGCACTTGGGAGGCTGAGGCAGGAGGATCACTGTGAGTTAGGTCAGTCTCAATTACATAGTGAGACCCTGTCTCAGAAAACCAAAAATAAGTAAATAAGCAAGCAAACAAACAGCTTGATAGGATTATGTCCAGACCTTTTTTTTTCCTAATACAAAATATGCGCAATCTGATATATAAATGTAGCTTTCTTATTAATTTAGATAAAAGCTCTTTGGTGTGATTTCCCTTTTTCTTTCAATAATGTAGTTTTGTGAGCTTTCTGAGCTAGTTCATTTTGAAATACTACAATGCTATTAACACCCAATTAATATTAGTTATGTTAGTCCATTCCAGCTGTTACAAGAAAGGATTATTGGGTAATTTATAAACAATAAAATTTTATTCACAATTCTGGAGGCTAGGAAGTCCAGGACCAAGGAAGGCCTTAGTAGATTTGATATCTGGGAAAGGCTTGCTGTCTGCTTTTCGTAACACTTCTTGGCGTGGGGGAAGGAACAAACAAGCTTCCTGATACCTCTTTTATTGTTTTGTTCTTGTATTTGAGGAGGGCAGCAATACTGGCCATTGAACCCAGATCATCTTACTGCTAGGCAGGTGTTCCACCACTGAGCCTCATTCCTCAGCCCTGGCTCTTCTTTTTATAAGGACATTCATTCTGCCATGTCATACCCACTTGTCTCCCAAAAGTGCCACCTCTTAATACTACCACATTGGAAATTAGGTTTTAACGTATGACTTCTGGGGGAGTATTAAAACATTCAAGGGCCTGGGGATTTAGCTCTGTGGCTCTGCTGCCTGTCTTGCAAGCACAAGGTCCCGAGTTTGATCCTTGTAACCAAAAAACAAAACATTCAGACCAGGGCCAGGGATTTAGCTCAGTGGTGCCGCTGTCTGCCTCACAAGCACAAGGTCCCAAGTTCAATCCCTGGTACCAAAAGCCAACAAACAAGCAAATAAACATAAAAAATACTCAAATCATAGCAATAGTATAATATGTGATATGTAATCCTTTATCTTACTGGTAAATATTTAGGTTCTTTCCTAAATATTTTACTCCATTATAAACAGTGGTACAGGGCCAGGGATTCGGCTCAGTGGCTCTGCCACCTGCCTCACAAGCACAAGGACCTGAGTTCAATCCCCGGTACCAAAACACAAAACAGAACAAAAACCAGTGGTACAGTGGACATTCTTATAAATCATAGTTCACATTTTTAAATTTCTGAGATACAGGGTTCTTGAAAGAATCTTGCAGGATCAAATAATATGCTTATTTATTTTAATTTTTATTCTTATTTTTGGTACCGGGGATTGAACTGGGGTCCTTGAGCTTGCAAGGCTGGCAGAGGCACCACTGAGCTAAATCCCTGACCCTATGCTTATTTTAAATATTGATTTATTAGTTGGCTTTCTCATTGCTGAGACACAGTCCCTAGCACCCACAATATAAAGGAGGAGAGGTTTAATTTGGCTTACTAATTCAGGGGATTGAGTCCACGCTTAGTTAGTTCCAAGGCAGAAATATGGCAGAAGGGCTTGGTGGAGCAAAGATGCTTAATTTATAGCAGCTTGGAAGCAGAGCAGGGGAACAGTGCGGGAGAGAAAGGGGATGGGACCAAACAGACACTAAGGTCAGGCCTTCATGACCCTCCCCCGTATAACCAGAAATATACTTTTTATACCCCTGGGTCACTTTCAAGTAAATCAGATTGACACAATTGAGCTTATTCAACATATTGATAATGACTCCCACATTAGTCTATGCTCTAGTAAGATAAGAGAGTGCTTATTGTCTTGTCAACATTTGAAGTCAGTCTTTAAAATTTTCCATAATCTAAAGGGTCAGAGTAATAGATGCTTTGGTTAAGTTTATCTTCATTAGTACTGAGGTTAAGAATCTTGTCCTATACTCTTTACTTATCTATTTGGAGACTTTATCCATTTTTGCTTTGGAATTTTTGTCTGTATTTGTATATAAAACTCTTCCTGAAAAAACATTTTTACACTTTCACACAAAATAACTTATGGCACCAGATGTGTGGGATTTTCTCCATACTGAACAATTCTCAGATACTAGTTGGATATCCTAAATTGAATTAATTTATTTATTCATTCATTTATTTTTTAGTACAAGGATCAAATGTGGGTCCTTGCACTTGTGATGCAGGTGGTGGCACCACTGAGCTAAATCCAGCCCTTTCCTAAATTAAATTTAACTGACACTGTATACCTGGAATTAGCACTAGTTTTTACAAGTTATGGGCTCAGTTCCATAAAGCTGTTCCCCACTTATGGTGCTAATTTTAAGTCTGCACTGGTCGACTATATATTCCAATAGGGTCCCAATGATAAATTGCTAGAAAGATTCAAAAGAACTGTGGGAAATAGTTGAAGTTTACCTGTTTATTGTAAAAGATATAGGTGAACAGCCAAATGAAAAGGTGCATAGGGCTAGTCCAGAAGCAGAGTCTGTGTCCTTGTAAAGTTGATAGGCAGCTCTTTCTCTGCCCCCTGGATGCATGCATTGATCAGCCTGGAACCTGTTAAATCCCCTTGTTTAAAAATTTTTGTAGAGTTTAATCCCAACCCCTCACCTTCCTGTGGCAAGGCAAGAGTTGTAACCCTGTACTCACTTGGTCTTTCTGAAGACATGCCCCATTTTAAGGTAAAGTTCCCTACTGCAAATTACTTCATTAGAGTAGTCTCAGTTAAGACTGAATGGTGCTTCTTATGAATAACAAACATACCCACATTATTCAAGAAATTCTAAGGGCTTTAAGGGCTCTGTGTACAGAACCAGAATGAAAGACCACATATAGCCTGGCAAATTTTTTAATTTTATTTTCATTTGCACACACTACATCGAGTGATAAACACAACCACAGCCATCTTATTGTACAAACACAAATATGGCCATGTTTTCTAAAATTTTAGAACAGATTAAGTTCGTGAGCCAAGGTACTATTGTGTATGTTTTATTGTACCATATTCTAAGGCTTACAAATATTTGTTTTGTATTAGTATTATCAATATTGTCTTCTAGATTGTCTTTTGCATTCATTTATTATTTTCATTAAACAAATTGTAGATTTATCAGCTTTTCTTTTTTTTAATGTATGGGTTTAGTATCCTAACAAATGTGTATTTAAAAACATTTTTTATAAGAAATATAGCAAATTAGTCAGAGTTATTGTTTTGTTGTTTTTACTGTTATTTTTCCTAAGTGATACTTAGTGAATAATCCAGCTATTCCTAGGGCTAATACTAAACTATACAATTTTTTATAATTCTAATTTGGAGATAGGTACAGTGAGAATAGATAAGTTCCTGAATGGTCTTATGATTATGAAATAGGAAAGTAATGACTCTCAGTGGTCTGCGTTTATAAACCTATAGTTTATGTAAGAGTAGGCTATATGTATGTACATAGTTTTCCACCCTCTACTAAGAACTATATATTTCACCTTCCTTTTTTTCCAGTTATTCATCAGTTAACTGTCATTTACAGCAATCCTCCATATGCCAAGGATTATACTAAAAGAAGGGATGCTTCTTAATTAAGGGTTTGTGGTCTGTTTTTGAAGATATAATATATAAGAAGGGCACGCGTGGTACAGAGAATTAAGAGTTTTCACAGAAATGCTTTGTGAAAGAGTAGGCTTTGAAGCTGCATGTTTTAGGAATGGCCAAATGTATGCATTTATTTTGGTTTTAAGTTTCATGAAGGTAGACCTGATATATCAAATGGCTACTTAATCTCACATAAATTTAAGAAAAACACCTTTGTCTTAACGCTGATATTGAAACACAGTTTGTGACTGGATGTTAAAGATGATCACATGTGCAGCCTCAAGTGCTTATGAACTGAAGAAACTCCAGTTAAAACAGTCAAGGTTCAATAACTATAAAATTGAAAATAAAAAATATCTTACAATGTCATGCTTTCCATGCTATACCTGAAACGGTGTTAATTACCTGTGGTTTGTTTTATTGTAGAGCATGGGCCTGGGATTGATATATTCACACCTGGTAAACCTGGAGATTATGACTTGGAAGGTGGTATATGGGAAGATGAAGATGCTCGGAATTTTTATGAGAACCTTATTGATTTGAAAGCTTTTGTTCCAGCCATCTTGTTTAAAGATAATGAAAAAAGTTGTCAGAACAAAGAGTGTAACAAAGATGATTCCAAAGGTAAATTCTAGAAGAATAAAAATAGTATTAAGTTCTGCAAAAATCAGCTGCAAAATACGATTTAAAAAACATTGTTAGTTACTAGTTTTGCGAGTATGAACAGAGGATTAAGTGAATGGGCAGAGTGACGAGCACAGCGTTAAAGGGCGATAACTGACATACTTGACCAGAGCCAGTGTAATTTAGTGTAAATCAATTCAAAGCTTTATTTTTAATATTTAACAGTGAGTTCATGTGAGATCTTGACCAAGCATTAATTTCACTCAGCCTTATGGTGCTCTTTACGTTCTCTATACTTTCTGGGCTAGAGCTTCCCAGCTTTTTGTGAGGAAGGGTTACTTGAAGGAAATCGAGAACTTTGAGGTCATTCATAGAGTTGGAGTTGCTGAATGCCACTTAGTCCTTGTTTCTCAGATTTCTCATCTTTCTGCTACTATTCTAGTCTAAACTGCAATTTTCTATTCTCTGTGCCACTTTAATACCTCCTTATTTGTTTGCCTTGTATTTGCTTTTGGTCCCTTTGTATTCTTAAGAATTAATTTTACTCTCTTAATGTAGTACATGTACAGTATTTGGAATATAATTTAAAATTATTAATATTATCCCTAGAACCAGTTTAGTTTGTCTCAGGTCTGCCACTCCAACTTTGTCTCTTTAATTTTCTGTCCTTTTAAGCCTCTGAAATGCTGCAGTCTTATATTTTGACCTTCATGTATTATTCTTTGTTTACTTGGAAGCTTTCCACTCTACCGTTATTTGACTTCCTCATGCATATTACTTTAATTTCCTTAGGTAGGGGAAGAACAAGGGGCCACCCTGCTACCCAGTGCTAAGGAATCAGACCCAGGGGTGCATATCACTGAGCTAAATCCTCAGCCTTTTCATTTTTTAAAATTTTGAGACAAGGTCTCACTAAGTTGCCCAGGCAGGATTCAAATTTGTTATCCTCTTGCCTCAGCCTCTTTCAGTGCTGGGTTATAGGAACCAGATGAGGGTCTCATTTAAAGGTTTTTTTCAGAATGTTCAATAGCTTAGTGTAGTTCTGAATGTGTGTGGCTAATCGATAAATGCCTTTTTTTTTTTTTTAATTTATTTTTTATTTGAGACAGGGTCTCACTGTGTAGTTGAGACTGACCTGGAACTCACTATGTAGCCCAGGCTGGTCTTGAACTCACACCAATCCTCCTGCCTCCACCTCCCGAGTGCTGGGATTACAGGCATGCGCCACCATGCCCGGTGGCAGTAAATGCTTTTTTTGATGGGCAGACACTAGGGAATATTGGAGAGTGAACATGTGCTCCCTTTGGACAGGGTGATTTTGTTTGGTTAGCTATAGTCAACAGTTTTATCTCTGGTGTTTAAAACAAGCCCTAAGTTATAGAGGGAATTCAATAAATAATAATTGAAAAGATGAGTGAGGAAATAGTATATTTTCATTTAGAGGCAGAAAAATTAATCTGTACTAGTTAGAGCTTTTATTCTCCCAAACATGGTTCACATCTAAGTATCAAGCACATATTTCTGCAGAAACTAAGAAAATACAGGATATGAGATGATCCTGAAAAATGTAGTTGTTTTAAGCATAAATTCTTAAACTCAAATGTTTTTGTCTTGCTCTCTTTTACTTGTGAAAAGTTTCGAACACGAAAGGCAGGTGTACTAAACTTTCACTTATCTATTAGCGAGCTTTAGCAGTTATGAACATTTTGCTAGTCTTATTGAAATAAGGTTTCATTCCTCTCTTTTTTTATTGAGTTTATTGGTACATTTTAGGTATACAGTACAGTTACATTCATTATTGGGATCTTGTACCTCCACATGACAGGTCTTGGTCATTTTTTCCCCTTGTCTCTGCCCCCCTTCACCCCCTCCTTCCCTCCCCATTTACAAACACTTTATTTCCATCTTTTCATTTTCTCACATTTTTTTCTTTTTCCTCTCTGTTTTCTTTTTCATTTTATTTCTAGCCATTTCCCCATTTAAAATTTTTCTTTAACTCCTGACATATGACTTATAAGGATATTTTCTTAATTTTCTATATCTAGTCTTTTCCGTCTCTCCAATTTATATATTGCTAAGTTAATATTATATTAGATCATATTTAAATGTTATCTCTTGCTGTAGCCCAGCAGAAGTGCTGCGTAAAGGAGCAACTCTGAAATCCTCATCTTTGCGTTTGAGATCGTTCTTAATCTGAGACTTCATTTGCCTTTATCTTTAGCACAGATCCATGTAATTCTTCATCCATCCATCATCTATTCATCCATCTCTTCAGTGAAAAAATTGCATACAGAACCAAAAACTTCACATGGTCTTTGTTCTCAGTGAGCATCATGTATTTTATTTTCTAAAATCTGAATACATTAAATTTTCACTTATATTTGTCGTTCAATATAATTGTGAGTTCTAAGATGAGCAGTGCTGATTTTATTAATCTTTATTTTTTGCAACAGAATTTCAACTGTGACTTTTAATTCGATATACAATGTTACTCAGTTCATGAGCTCTATTCTCTCCACCATTCTGGTCACAAATCGAATTGGACAAGAACCAAATCCATTTTCCCCTTAAGATCAGCATTGAACCTAACCATTGAATTAGATTCAGTTCTCATCCAACCCTTTTTGCGATGGAATCATGGAGAGAATCAAGTTTGTGAACCAAGGTACCATTGTAAGTGTAATTGTTCTTTGTTTTATTGAGAGATCAAACCCAGGTCCTATACATGCTAGCCAAATGCTCTACCATTAGCCAGGCGTGGTGGCCCACGCCTGTAATCCCAGCACTGGGGAAGTTGAGGCAGGAGGATCACTGTGAGTTCGAGACCAGCCTCACAGCTGGAACAGCTACATAGTGAGTTCCAGGTCAGTCTCAACTACATAGTGAGACCCTGTCTCAAAAAACCAAAAAACAACAAATGCTCTACCATTGAGCTATACTCTGGTCTCTTGTTCTTTGTTTTTTTTTAACAGAGGCCAAGGAACCTAAAGATAATAAGGAGGTATCAAATCCTGATGATTTGGAACTTGAGTTGGAAAACCTAGAAATTAATGATGATACTTTGGAGTTAGAAGGTGGAGATGAAGCTGAAGATCTTACAAAGAAGCTTCTTGATGAACAAGGTAAAAAACTATTTCACCAATTTCATTTATTTTTTGTTTTTTTTTTACACAAAACTCTTGCCTAAGAATATGAATCTTTTCTCTTTAATTTTCTTTAGTTCTGTTTCAGAGAAAAATATTAGCCCAAGTCTAAGTTCTGAATATCTTGAGAACTTGCTGTTGCAATGATAGTATCCTGAATATTTAATTGTATGACAAAACCTTTATAAACTTAACATTGAATATATATCTGAAAGTTATTCTAAAATGCCCAAGGAATAGAACTATAGCTAGCATATCAGTTTATCTTTGTTGATTTTTATCTCTTAATGAATCATGTTTTATATTTACTAATGAAAATATTACATTATTGTTTCCTAAATACTTCTATTGAGTTTGTTGGGATTCTTTATTAAAAGGATACTTTTGCCAGTATTGATTTTCTCTATTGGCTTTGTTTCCTACTGCAGAGTCTCTATCTCTCTTATAAAGGGAGGGTGGGCATGGCCTGAGGCTGCCCCACACTTAAACCAACTAATGACATAAGAGGAAAAGAATGTGTATAAGGATGCTCTGGATAATCGTGGCTCATCCTGTGTCATTTTTGTCATGTGGTCCCAAGCAGTGATGGATGGTGTGCTGTGCTTTGTTTGGCAGCAGCCACCCCCATCAGAATCTCATGGAACGGGGAGGCTTAGTTCTTTAGAGGCAAGAGTTGGGAGCACTGTTAATTGAATAACACGAGGAATAGAATGCTGAGCAGATAGGAGTAATAGACTTACTATAAAGCTACATACATTTTATGAGTGAGCTTTTGTGTCCGATGCAGAAGTTTGTCTTTTTATAGGTGATATTGGAAAGATTATAGTGCCTTGAAGTTGTGATTCTAGAGACAGCTAAAGTTCTAGGAATGTTTTTTTTAAATGTTTCATGTTTTTACAAGTATGAAGACAGGTCTAGATAATGTTTCACAAATAATTTATAATTGGATGCTTTCATTTTGATATGTTCTGTGTGTACTTTTTTAATCTACTTAAAAACTAATTTTATATTAGAACAAGAGGATGAAGAAGCCAGCACTGGTTCTCATCTCAAACTCATAGTAGATGCTTTCCTCCAGCAGTTGCCCAACTGTGTCAACCGAGATCTGATAGACAAGGTATCCTTATTTTTATGTAATTGCATTGAAGCATGTAAACTTTGTAAGATTTTAATTTTGAATGTCACTGGTTTTTAGACTAGTTGAGCTATAGAATGAATCAGTTTTTCAATGAAGTCTTTTATGGGAATCCAACACAGATAAAACAAGCTAATCTGTAGATACTCAGTTTAGAATTGGAAGTGGCTTTACAATCTTGCTGGTTTAACAACTTTTCCCTTTGTAAAGGATTCTTCAGTTTGGAAAACAGTGTTTTAGCATGAGTGAAGATTGTGGTACCCTTGTATTCTTCACTGTCCTGCATTTTCAGTTTTTTAAAAATGCCACTAAGCTCCTTGGTAAATCCATTAAAATGAGTGATTTTATTACATTTCAACAGTTGAGTATTCGTCTTTCAATCTGATAAAATTAGAAGCACTTTGTCTCAGAAAACTACTTGAAGGATAGCTGCTTTTATCATAAAACAGCATTCTTATAAGAACTAATGGACAAATCATACATAATCAAACTTGAATATTTAGCACAGTTTTTCTTAAACAAAGCAAATGACTCCATCACTTCTAGGAAGACATCTAATAGTATTTATTGCCAGTGATCAAAGTTAGCTTTTCAACACAAGTTACAATTTTGTAAAATTTATATCTACCATCATAAGCTTGATAACTTCCTAAGTCTTTTCTGAAGAAACTTTATTGATGACACTGTTCTGATGAGATTCTGTGGTATTTAATATAATTTTAAAATATGTCTGTTTATATATATATATATATATATATTCTAAATGACTTGTACAGTATTAAAAATCATCCATAATTATTAAAAGATACACTAAAAATGCAAGACAGATATATTTAAATTTACAGAGAATGAAATGTTTATTATTGATGCAGTTTCATATTCCACATTGCAACTAGCCTTTAAAAAAACTACCACTTGCAGCCATACATGGTGGTGTACACCTATAATCCCAGTGCTCTGGATGGCCGAAGCAGGGGGATTGCAAGTCCCACATAAGCAACTAAGAAGACCCTGTTTCAAAGTAAAGAATTTTTGGAAGGGGCTGAAGATGTAGCTAAATGAGAGGCCTTGGATTCAATTTCCAGTACCACTAAAGAAACTACCATTTGCATTTGCTAAGTTTTGGTATAGTATCAAAGAAAAATAATAGCAATTACTGAGAAAGATTTCAAAATATATCTTCATTTTCCACCTACATCTTGTGAAGTTGTATTTTCTTCATATATTTTTATCCAAATCAATGTAATCCAACAGATTGAATGCATAGATAAAAGAGTCCAGCTATCCTTTAAAAGAATGCTTTTCATTCCCTAAATTTTTTCATTGTGGAGTGTGGTTGTTTTCCTAAAACATTGAAAAGACGTTTATTTCTAAGTAAGTTAATATTTTTTACATTTTATTTCATTTTAATTTTTAGTCCAGTAAATTGTATTAGATGTTATTCACACAAGCAAAGTTTTTCAGGTCCTTAATAATTTTCAAGCATGTAAAGTACTTGAGGCCAGCAGTGTGGTCTTCAGATACCTTCTTTTTCCTTAACAATGTAAATAATCTTTTGTTCTTTTTTCTTCATTTCAGCCTTCAGATAATCTAGATGTACTTTAGTAACTGTTCATGTAGTACTCAAGTAGACTTAAAGCTCATTCCAAATTGGCTCACTCCTAGAGTAATCAGGTCAATGTACTTCCAAAGAAATCGGGTTCAAAACTTATTGTAATAAATTGTAGCATTTTTATCTGTTAAGTTGTCTCTTCTACCATATGTAACAAAAACTTTTAGGCAGTTGGTTATTTTTATTTTTCCAAGTTTTGTGTTTTTTGTTTTTGTTTTTTTTTTTGAGACGGGGTCTCACTATGTAGTTAGTTGAGTTTGACCTGGAACTCCCTATGTACCCCAGGCTGGTCTCAAACTCACAGCAATCCTCCTGCCTCAGCCTCCCCAGTGGTGGGATTACAGGCATGCTGCGCCAGCACACCTGGCACTATTTTTCTAAATTTTGAATATGACTGAGTCTGTCTCCAGCTGTCATTTATAGTCATTGGCTATAAACAGAAGATGAAAGAGAAAGTGACTCTTCCTGCTCACCTCCACCCCACATTTTAAAAACTAATATGAAAGTTGTAGGCAGAAAAGGTTCTAATTAGTTACATTTTACTGTATTAATACATTATTATTGTGAATCTCAGGTCAGACTAGTGCAATGTGTCCTTTGATGTCCAATGTGGTATTATGAGCTATTGCCAGTAGTGACCATAAAATTTATTCTGAATTAGCTCTCTTGAGAGTCAGATGAAAAACAGCAGGCCATCTCCTTCCTTTTGGACCCTGGTGGCTTCCTTGTGAAAGAAATTTCTTCCATATGTGTCGGCAAAAGTTCACATGACTTAATGAGAAAAAGTATTTTGGAACTAGGTAGAAAAGAATTATTGAAATTCAGTAGTTATGTTGCTGTAAATAATAAATTTAAGTAAGACATTTAAATTTAAAATACCAAAAGTATTTGTAGAAATGATCTGGTTCAGTTCTAAAATCCTGAAAGGAATAGCCGGGTGTGGTGGTGCACGCCTGTAATCCCAGCACTGGGGAGGATGAGGCAGGAGGATTGCTGTGAGTTTGAGACCAGCCTGGGCTACATAGTGAGTTCCAGGTAAGTCTCAACTACATAATGAGACCCTGTCTCCAAAAAAACCACAAACAAACAAAACAAACAAAAATCCTGAAAGGATTATCTTAGCCTCTTGTTTTATGGTTCATGAGGTTAAAAGGCTTTCCAAGATCACATAGCATGATTGTAGCATCTGATTTTATCTGTGTAGTGTTGTATGTATATATAAAGTCATTTGTGGTTTTTCCTTTTTGTTTTTGCTTTGAGTCAAGGTCTCACTATATAGTCAAGGTTAGCCTTGAGCTCATTGGTAGAGGAGCCCAGTATAGTATAGCCTCCTGCCTTATCCTCCAAGTGCTGGGATTACAGACATGTGTCACCACACCTGGCCAGTTGTAGTTTTTTAAAATGTAAACTGGATATTTTCCCCTTTAAAAGTCATGGAAGTTAACTTATACTAAAAAGATAAGAGAATTTACTTGTTCACCAACCTTATTGTGTTACTGCGAATCAAGATTCTCTTTTTTTTGGTACTGGGGATCGATCTTAGGATCTTGTGCTTGTCAGGCAGGCAACAGCACCACTGAGCTAAATCCCTGGCCCAGATCAGGATTTTTTTATGGAGCTTTCAGTATCAGTTCTTTTTCTCAGACTGAAGAGAGAGTTTCATTTTTAAGCTTTTCAAATAAAATTACCAGAAGTCAGTAGGAAATTCCTCTTGTATGCCACTTATATGTAAGTGAGCAATTTAAAATTCTTTGTGCATACATGAAGTTATTGACAGCTTGTAATGTGTTATATCCTCACTCTACTGTGCCCCTGCCTTTTTTTTTCTTTTTTTAATATATAAGGGCAGATAATTTGGCAAAGGCCTAAATGATTGCTTTCCTAAGTTTTAATTCCTTAAGCCATAAATCTGAAAATAAATTAACTCTTCTTGTGTTGCTCAAAAATATTTTAAATTTTAGCGTGGCATGGTGGCTCACTCCTGTAATCCTAGCACTCAGGAGGCTGAGGCATGAGGATTGCCATGCCTTCAATGCCAGCCTGAACTGCACAGTGAGACCCTATCTCTAAAATCAAAACAAATAAACAAGTGTTTCAAGTTTTAAAGACCACATATGTAGTCTTCTATTCATTTAGTCTACGTGTTTCCTGAATCCTACACTGTATGCAGCACTAGGCGTCCATGAGTTTGACTGAATCCTAATCCTTGGAAAGTTTTGAATAGTTGTGTGTATGTATGTCTAACTGAACCTTTGATTTTTGTGATAAGAATAGTATTTGTTACTTTTTCTATGTTCAAAAAACTCAAATGATTTAAATTAGGTGCAAACATCTCTATGTCTGGGGCTTCTCATACACGACTTAACAAAACGTAGATAGTTAATATTTAGAAAATATTACCTTTGGTCAGCCATAGTGGTACATTCTAGCTATAATCCCAGCACTCAGGAGGCTGAGGCAGGAGAATTGCGGCCAGCCTGGACTACATAGCAAGGGCCCTGTCTCACAAAATTAAAAAAAGAAAAAAAAAATTACATCTGTACTGAACACATATATTTGGTAGGGGGAGTTAGTCCCTAAACAAAACAGTATAGCAAATATTTACGTAGTATTTCCCTTGTATTAGATATCATATATTAGTAAGTAACCTGGAGAGGATTTAAGGGATGGGAAGATGTACAAATACTGTGCCATTTTATACAAGGGTTTGTGTAACCATAGGGATTCTTGGAACTAATCTCTGTGGATACCAAGGCATTGCTGTACCAATTACTTACATTTTATTTTCTGGAGACTTTAGAACAAACCTCTCCTAGCTTTTCCTTCATACTCACATTAGACATTTATGAAATATTAGACACATTTTAAAATACTGCCTTTTCATTTTCCTTGTTAGCATTAATAATTTTCTTGGCTCTTGGTACATATTTTTGCTGATTTTTAGTTTTTTTCTTTTTAATTTGATTTACTTGTCTTTAAACACATTGATTTTTGGGCTGGGATGTTGCTCATTGTTAGAATGCTTGCGTACCACACATGAGGCCTGGGTTTAATCCCCAGTACCACAAAAAAAGAAAGAAAACATTGATTTAATTTTTCATATAGTTATTAACCAAACATTTTGCAGTAGAACTTTGAGCTGCCTCCTTGAAGTTTTGTTCCTAAAACTAGGGTGCATTTTAAAAAGTAAGAAGCATGCGTTTTTAGATATGTAAGAAGAGAGGGTTTTTAAGTTTAGTGACCTTTTAGTTTGGAATGTGCTTATAATCCTTGGGTCTTAGCATAATTTTGTGTTTTTGTTTTTGCAGCACCAGGGATTGAACTCATGATGTTGTACTTGCCAGGCAGGCACAGTGCATGCCACTGAGCTATATCCCATCCCTAGTCTTAAAATAATTTTGAAATGTCTAGGAATAAGTAAATTTGTAGTAGGTAACTATTCTGCTTTTAGTAGCTAAATTGAGGTTTTCTTAAGAAAAAAGTTTGCTCTTTTTCCTGTAGGCAGCAATGGATTTTTGCATGAACATGAACACGAAAGCAAACAGGAAGAAGTTGGTACGAGCGCTCTTCATAGTTCCTAGACAAAGGTAAGTATTAAAAAAAACTAATGTTAGTGCTTTTACTGTGTAGTGATGTTTATAAGATCAAAATTCTTATTTAATCATCTCTTTAAAACTGTCACCTCTTGCTGGGTGTGGTGGGTCATGTTTGTAATCTCAGCAGAGGCAGGAGGATTGCTTGAGAGTTCAAGGCCAGCCTGAACTATAAAGTGAGACCCTGTCTCAAAAAAAACCAAAAAAACTTATCACCTCTTGATTTTTTAAATTGCAAAGACATTAGCTTAAATTTCTAGATCTTGTTTCTCACTGATTTTTGTCCATATTAGTTCTGAAGGAACTATTTCTTCTGATATTTACCTGTTCTAAGAGAAAATGTTTAAGAATAAAACATAATATCTATGAACACAATAATTACTGAAAGTAATTAGTTTACATTTTTGCTTCTGGGGAGAAAATATAATGATACAGTTTTTTTGAGGAGTTTTTCTTTTAGGTGTACATAAGGATTACACTAATTCTAAATTTAATTCTTAGGTTAGGTTTAAAAATTTTAAGTTATAAGCTGGGTGTGGTGGCGCATGACTGTAGTCCCAGCACTGGGGAGGCTGAGGCAGGAGGATCGCTGTGAGTTCCAGACCAGCCTGGACTACATAATGAGTTCCAGGTCAGTCTCAACTACATAGTGAGACCCTGTCTCAAAAAACCAAAAAAAAAAAAAAAAATTTTTTTTTTTAAATTGTTAGGATTATTTTGACCTATCTAGGAAGAACTGGAAACCACTAATAATTTTGCTAGTAATTAAAGACATCCAATTGCATATTGATTTGTTTTATACTAATGTAAAATCTACTTTGTCACTTAAAGATCACTCACAGCCGGGCACGGTGGCGCATGCCTGTAATTCTAGCACTCGGGAGGCTGTGAGTTCATTGTTGTGAGTTCAAGACCAGCCTAGGCTACATAGTGAGTTCCAGGTCACTCTCAACTACATAGTAGTGAGACCCTGTCTCAAAAATAAAATGAAAAAAAAAACATTTTTTTTTTAAAAAGATCACTCACCGTCTTTTTACCTTAGGAACCTAAGGGAAATGTGTTTTTATATAACAGTGAGTTAGCTATTCATGATTATATGCAACATAACTAAGATACTTTCTTTAAAGATAAGGATTCTGAGAGATTTCACTGAGGATTTCTTCAGCAAAATTTTGATTTGGCTTATTCATTGTCAAAGGCAATATTACTCTTAGTAATAGTAAGATTTTTTAGAGAAACCAAACCCCCTCTTTAAAAAAAAATCTCTTGTCAGTGCATTTGGTTTGACATTGCAGCAAAGGAGAGGGAATGTTAATATATTGAACATAATTATTCATAAGAATTACATAATTGAGAAAGTCATAGAGGTAAAGACTGAATTGTGCAGTCATGATATAAAATTATGTACTTCATTAAATATATAATACTGTCAATTTTGAGAGGAGCATCTTATATACAAATAAAATTTTAAGTTAATTTTAAAATTTTGATTATGAGATATGTTCCATTTTCATATATATGAAGTAGGTGCTATTGAATGTTCACTTTGAATTGATGAAAATTCACACACATCCCTTCACAGCATCTGGACTAATAATTTTCAAGTAATTTTTTAACTGTAGAGGGCAGAATGTTTTCATATTTTTTCCACTGTTTTTATTTGAATGAAGACATAACAGCAATTATTAGGCTTATTTTTAGTAAAAGCGTTAGAATAAACCAGGTAGCAAAAATAAAAGGCTTGGTTAACAGAAGAAACCATGGAGTAATGTTGTAGTAGTTTACCTGTAAAAGATCATCTTTTCCTGTATGCCCATGCCTACCACACCTCTGAATGAATGAATGAACAAGCCTCAAAAATTGTCATCAGACAGTTATTTGGTTTTGTGCCAGTCATAGCATTTATAAATGAAATTATCCATTTAGCTCAGTGGTAGAACATTGAAAATTCGTCATAGTTGAAATCTGCTAGAAACAAACTGGAAAGTAGTAGAATGTGAGGGTTTATGGTTTGAGAGAGAAAAAACAATATTTTTAAAACGAGATAGTTAAAATACATAGCAGTCTAAAGCTGTGAGAAATAGACCCCAGTCTTGTATCCCTGAAGCATAAAAATATGATAACTTTATATTCTCATTTTAATCAGCCTAATGGCCTAGATAAATGTAATTATGTTCTAAAATCCACTAATTAAATAATTCATTAAGGACCTGTTATATACTGTGATTGGCATTGAAGATAAAATTTAGAAGTAAATAAGATTGATTCAGCTCTTATCTTCACATAGCTTAAAACTTAGGAAGATAGATGAAAAATTCTAAGTGCAGTTACTAAGAAGAAGCACAGCATGCTTTCAAGAAAAGGGTTGTTTAATCTGAGTCCTGAAAAAGGAATTAGCTAGGTGAAGAATGGGTGAGGGAATAGAGAAGGATTCTTTCTGATAGTAGTATGTGTGTAGAGACTGAGACATAAACGGGCATGGCATCAAACTATGCAACAGCCTTTCCCTTGGACTCCCTGGTACTTTCCTCTATGCTATAAACTGCAGGAAAGAGGCTATTTTGCTGACCCCTTCACTTAGTACGATGCTTACGTCGAAGATGATAAAATTGTGTAGCACAGGGGCCGGGGATTTAGCTCAGCGGTTCGGAGGCCTGCCTTGCAAGCGCAAGGACCCGAGTTCACTTACCGGTACCCCAAAAAAAAATTGTGTAGCATGGTATTTAATGCCCCGCCCATTGAGTTTATTGGTACATTTTAGGTATACAGTACAGTTACAGTCATCACTGGGATCTTGTACCCTTACATGATGTATCTTGGTTCTTATTTTTTCCCCATTCCCCTCCCCTCCCTTCACCCCTCCACCCTTCCCTATTTACAAGGACTTTGTTTCCATTTTTTCCTTTTCTCACATTTTTTGTTTTCCTTTCTGACCTTTCCCCTTCCCCTTCCACTTCACCTACACCTTTAGCCCTTTTCTTCCTGTCACACAATGTCAGTAATACATTTTGATCCTTATTTACACTTTCAGTTTTCCATACCAGAGAAACTATTTAGTTATTTACACGCGTGTGTCCTATTAATTACACTTAACAGTATGACTTCAGTGTGCTTTCTTCCTTAGTTTGTTTTCAGCTTCTTTGGTCTTAATTCTAGCTGTTTTTCCTCTTTCAAAATCCTAATGTATAATCATTTTTTAAAATGTCTTTTGCTCTCTTCATCCTTGGACTTTCACCATTGTTTTCTTTCTATCCTCTCTGGGATTTCTTTTATTTTTCCATGGGAAATTTGTAAGTCACTTTTTAAGTCTTAGTAGAGCAGCTATCTTCTCTGAATAATATTTTCCTTATATTACTATTTTCCGAAATATTGGTGCTTTTTATGGTTCTTCCAACATCTTCAGATGAAGAAATAGGCATATCATTTTACAGTTTTTAGTTTGCTACCTGTATTTACTACTAGATTCTGAAAACCATTAGCACTTCAGGAAAGTGGACTAGATATATTTTAATTTTTTCCATCTCTAACACCAAGATGTACTTTTTTTATTTTAGCCTCCCCTGCCACCCCACCAAGGTATACTTTTTTTTTTTTTTTTTTTTTTTTTTTTTTTTTTTTTGGAGTTTGAACTCAGGGCCTTGTACTTGTGAGGCAGGCGGCAGAACCACTGGGCTAAATCCTTGGCCCAAGATGTACTTTTAAGCATAATACATCTAAAAATATTTGATGAACTCCATGAGAAAAAAATTTGGATGAATTAATGTTGGTTATGTGCAATTTAAAAAAATAAATAAGGGCCAGGGATTTAGCTCAGCGGTTCGGTGGCCTGCCTTGCAAGCACAAGGACCCGAGTTCAATCCCCGGTACCAAAAAAAAAAGTACATGCACATAGCTCAAAACCCAGAAATACACATTATGTGGTGAAAAATATCCTTCCTATCCCCTCCCCATCTACCCAGTTCTCACTCCTAATAGTAAACTACTGTCTTCATTCTTACAGAGATTCTTTTCACTATTACACTATCCTCACCCACTTCACTTTCCAGTCTTTTGCCATTACTGCCATTATAAAGAATCCAATATTTGTATTTCCCTATTATCTTTTATTAGCTAATGATTTATTTTCGTTTCTATCTACCAAAAAAGCCAGTTTTTAGATTTATTATTCTATTTTTAGTATTTTCTCATTCAATACTTTTGCCTTTTTATTAATTTATTCTTTTTAGTTTCTTTCATTTATTTTGTTCCTTTTCTGGTGTTCCATATGTCTTATCCTTTGAACATGGTTTTAGACATGTCTGTCAGTTCTGACATATGATGTCTTATTTTTCTAGAAATTCTTCTGTTTCAGTTTTATATCCCTTGTGACCTAAGGAGCTACTAGAATTTTGCAATTTTCAGGTAGAGAGGCTGTTTCTTTTTGTGATTGTGTTAACATTTCATAATAGTATTGGAGATTGGAGAATACTGTTTTTGTGTTAGGAAAATTTTTTTGCAATTTCCTTTGTGGCCTATTCTGTGGTCAGTATTCATGAACATTTTACAGGCATTTTAAAAGGCACGTTTTTGTTTTTATGGTACAGAGTTCAATGTGTTGATCAAGTTTATATTATTAAGTGTGTGTGTGTGTGTGTGTGTGTACACATGTGCATATGTACGTGCTGGAGATTGAAACTACAGCTTCACACATTCTAGGCAAGTACTCTACAAAGCAAACTGTGCCCACAGCACTTGAATAGCTATTTTATTAAGATCTTCCATTTTTAAGCTTTTATGTCTACTTTCCCAGGGGTCATGGGCCAAAAGAGGTGAATTAGACCTCTGCGAATGTATTTCATTTCTACTTCTCACTACTATGAATTCAGCTATCAGGATGTTACTATTGTAGTGCCTGGTGTTTCATAAAGTTTTTTTCTTCATTTTAAATTGTACCTTTAATCATTCTGAAGTGCACTTTTGTTCTCATTTAGTACTTTGAGGCCCAGATACTACAT